ATTCATTTGGGAAGATGCCATCGATTGTAGCAGCATTTTTAAAGTTGTCGAACCCAAACGAATATACAGGTCATTGTTTCCGACGTAGTTCTGCTACTCTTGCTGCAGATGCAGATGTGGATTTTACATCGCTGAAACGCCTAGGAGGTTGGAGGTAAAAATTTTAATATTTTCCGATCTTGTTCTAAACAACAATAATTATTTAGGTCGTCCACAGTGGCCGAAGGTTACATAGAAGAATCTATTGAGAAAAAGAAGAAAGTTTGCAAACTGCTAATGGGGGAAAAGAAAATCGCGACCACTTCCACGGATGTATTACCAAGTACATCATCGTTCGCATTTACTCCACCTCATCAGAAAGTAAATTTACCTGCCAATGGAGGAGTCGTTTCGATTGCAGATGCAAGTTTTCAAAATGCACAAAATTGTTCATTTCATTTTTATTTTTCCAAATAACTTAGCTTTTGATATTGTTAGTATTTAATAATTTAAAAATCAAATACAATGGAATAAGAAACCATCTATATATTTTAAAAATCATTATCGCAAACTTACCTTAGTAAGTAAATAAGTTTCATCACTAGCCGTGGCCAAAAAATCACGATCTCTTTTATGGACAAAACCTTAGACTTTTTAGGCTCGTAACCAACCGAATTCCTCTTCAAAAAAGCAATAAGTTTTGGAAATTTGTCAATATAAATATCTTCTTTAACACTTAACACTGCTCTCAGCATGGAATATTTCGACCAAATTGACGATGGTTTGAATGTTTGTGACTGTAATTTAAGAATATTTTAATTTAAAAGCCTCTTTTAAATAGGTACCTAGGTACTTACTTTAAACAAATAACTTAGCTTTTGATATTGTTAGTATTTAATAATTTAATTATAAATATATGTATAATTTTATGTGATTTTGTGACAAATTTCGAATGACAAAATAAAACAACCAAATAACGAATTTAGACATTTTAGTCCATAAAGGTTGCCATGACGACCTTTACGGCCTAGGCCGAAAAAGAAACATTTTACGGACTGAAATGAGTCCGTAAAATAGCTGTTTTTGGGAGCGTATGACAAAAAGATTTAAATAGTTTTATTTTTGTATATAAATGGGCTAATAATATTATCGTTTTTAGCACCTGTACATTTTTTACATTTGTTGCTTTAAAAACAATCTAAAATGTACATATTTTATGGGTATATTGAAAAATGAGGTCTAAATTATAAGAAAATGCATTTTCTACGAAAACTTGAAGGCATAGGTAAAAAATGGTATAATACAATTTGATAGACAATTAAATTGTGCATCTGATTCTCATAAAATATACAGGGTGTTCCATTTAATCTAAACAAGTTATTGCCGTTTAAAACTAGAAATTATTTAAAATAAATTTTTAGACACTCTGTATGAAGTAGTATTATTTTTATTATTGCAACACAATAACTGATCAATAGATAAATTTTAGTAAATATTTAGTATTAAAAAAATTTGATACCTTTGGAGAAATGAAGCCCTAAAATTTTTACTGCAATTTCACAAAATTCAAAATATTTCAAAAACGGTAAGGTTTAAGTGTGATAAATCTTTATCAAATTTACCTTTATTTTAATCGTCGAAATTAAAAATGTAATAATATACAGGGTGTCCCACTTAAAAAATACAACTTTAATATTTTTTATTTATTTGGGACGCTCTGTATGTTGTAAAAATATTTTTAAATTGTAGCTCCAATAGTGCTTCAACGAAACTTTTTTAAAATTTATTTGTATCATATCGTCCGTTGTATCATCCGTCTATCATACCCCTCATATTTTTTTCTCTCTCAAATTTTCTAATCTTAAATTAAATTAAGCAATGGTTTGAAATAAATAATCGTTATCTAAAAAATACATTATAAAAATAGCATTGCATGCATCAACAATAAGTTGCGATTGTTGACCTGTTTCGGAGAGGTACCTTTGTCCACAGGTCGAACAACCTGAAAAGTGTGCATATTTTTAAAAACACAAAAGTGAATTTATTACAATATTGGCGCATTGGATATTCGTTTTAACACCCACCAAATGTCAAAAAACCATATGAATGGCCGCCAGTATTTCTCAGAACGGCCTACTCGTCTAGAAACACAAAAATATTTTTTGAAGTTGTTCTAGTCTGCGATGAAAAACAAAAAATAATGAAATCATTTGCATTGCAATATTTTACATTACCGTGTGATTTATGTATAGTAATTCGTATTTTTATCGATATTACAGATTTTACGATAAAAGAATGAGACGGGCTGCAATAATACATAATCGTTGAGGCTCAAGAAGCTTGAAAACATATTAACCTTTTCAGTTTGCATTTAATACAGAAGCAACAAGTACGCTGTATAAATAAGTCGCGGAAAACCTTGTACTTTGTCTCTAGGTTAAAAATAGCGTTTAATTCTCTTATACACTGGATTATTGTATATTGTAATTGAAAAATTAATTTGAATATACCTATAATACATTTTTTCCTCGAGGAAAAATATAAGTATTTTTATTTTATTCATAAAATATAATTTGATGGTCTTGACTTTATGAAATTTCGATTAAAAGAGATTGGTGCTATTTATTGAGGAATAAGGGACAATATTATACCTAAAATACTTTATACAATGATTTTTGTTTTATATTATAATTAAAGCTGTCACTACTATTCTCAACATAGTTATAATGGTTAATTTACATAATAGTGATTATACAGGGTGGTCCGAATTGTATTCGAGAAACTTCGGCAGCATATTCTATAGGTAAGAATAAATAAAAAAAGTTCTTTTAAATTTATGTCCTAAAATGCTTCGTTTCGGAGATACAGGGTGTAGAAGTTTAATTCTTTAACTTTCTGTTTTTTCCAAACAATTTCTGAACTATATACAGGGTGTTTCAAAACAAATGCGAAAAACTTCAGGGGGTGATTCCTTGTTCAAAATAAAGGGTAGTTCGCTTCATAAACGTTGGGTCAAAAGTCAACCATTAGGGAGATATCGCGGTAGAAAAATGGCGGAAAAATAATGTTCTTATTTTTTATCTTGAAAACGAAAAGAGATAGACTAATGAAATTTTATGGAAGCATTACTGTTATGAAAACACACTTTCTGGTAATTTTTTCACTTTTTTAAAATGAGTGGAAGGGGTTGAAATAAACTACCCCTATCATTCTTGTTAAGGAAATTTAAAGAAAAATCTTATCAAACACATGCAAAAATCGACGAAAATTAATTTGGATAGTTTAGTTTGTTTAGAAACTTTTTTATCTCTTGTATTTTTTTTATAAAACTCACCGATTTGAAATTAAAAAATAAAATGTAAAGCATTACATGTCAGGACTAAAAATATTTTTAGATTAAGAATCTAGTGATAATAATGATAATAATAATAATCTAGATTATAACGTATTGCAGTAGGGTAATGTCAAATAAAACAATATTAGAAACATCCTAAAAAGTGACAGCGGCCGACTAGATTTTTTTCCTAAAAAAATTACAGCTGCCCACTAGATTCTTTATCTAAAAATGTTTTTTGTCCTGATATGTAATGCTTTACATTTTATTTTTTAATTTCAAATCGGTGAGTTTTATCAAAAAAACACAAGAGATAAAAAAGTTTCAAAATTATTTTTTTTTGCATGTGTTTGATAAGATTTTTCTCTAAATTTCATTAACAAGAATGATAGGGGTAGTTGATTTCAACCCCTTCCACTCATTTTAAAAAAGTGAAAAAATTACCAGAAAGTGTGTTTTCATAACAGTAATGCTTCCGTAAAATTTCATTAGTCTATCTCTTTTCGTTTTCAAGATAAAAAATAAAAACATTATTTTTCCGCCATCTTTGTACCGCGATATCTCCCTAATGGTTGACTTTTGACCCAACGTTTATAAAGCAAACTACCCTTTATTTTGAACAAGGAATCACCCCCTGAAGTTTTTCGCATTTGTTTTGAAACACCCCGTATAGTCGATATTTGGTGGCTTTTAAGTACTGACGTGATAAATTATTTAAAATATCTGGGTGTTTTGTGACATGATAAATTTGAATTCGATGTCAATATGACTCCTACTCGTAGGGGGGCGCCACCTGTGTTTTAACTGTTTTGAAGAGTAAGTAATAATAATAAGAAAACTTTTAGGAAACCGATAGAAACGGAACATAAAACCATAATCAAGGTAAGCAACGGAATACACCCTTAGTCAACGTGTTTAATTTATGTCAATGATGACAGGTATTGATAATTTCCATTCCAAATATCTCAAAAACCATTACTCGTAGCGATTTTTATCAAGAGACCTTTTCTACGTAAAAAACGACGAACATTTTTATTTCATTAAGTAGTTTTACACAGGTACGAACGAAAAGTTATTACTCTTCAAACCAAATAAAAATATGTAGGTGGCGCCCTCTACAAGTAAGTCATATTGACATGAAAATTAAATTTCTCACGTTAAAAACTTCCAGACACCAATTTCATCTAAATATCGACGATAGCTCAGAAATTATTTGGAAAAATTCGAAATAAAAATGAAACTTCTACACCCTGTATCTCCGAAACTAAGCATTTAAGGACATACATCTACAGAATATGCTGACGAAGTTTCCCAAATACAGTTCGGACCACCCTGTATAAGACAAAGAAAATGTATACTTGAAAAATCCAATTCATTGAAAATAATTAGAGAAATATTGGAACGCAGCGTTTTCATGCCACCGGTCTTCAATACTTTTGTATCTATTTTTAAATGAGATACTTAAGTTGCCACACCATCTCGTCTAAAAATAATACAGCATAGTCACTAATTATGCTTCTTTGTACAATTTCTACAACTTTTATTGTGATTTATTCAGTCGTAATGAAATTGCCAATTTGCCATGTAAATGTAAACCAGATGTTTTAATTGCAGAAACATTTTTGTAGCTTTGAAGTACTGACGTGATAAACTATTTAAAATAATTAGTCTCTTTTTGTCTTTTCAGGCCGTGGATTGGTGGTCGGTTGGCGTTCTGACTTACGAATTATTAACTGGTGCTTCCCCGTTCACCGTTGAAGGTGAAAGAAATACTCAGCAGGAAATATCCAGGAGAATTTTAAGGACTACTCCTCCAATTCCAGAATGTAAGTATCCTTGTTAAGTGTTTTAGCTTTAAGTCTATCGTCATCACCTCGATAAAAGTTATTTCTGTAAAAAAAATGTATTTGTAAATAGATAGGATAAGAAACGATACAATGAAAGGGCTATACAAACACTGAGCTATTATTTAGCCAGTTTTATAAAAGTGCCTTAATTATGGATGTCCTAAAGAATCTGCAATTAATCTTTTTGGTTGAAATTGGGTTTTTCGACATTACTAAATTGCTTTCACATTCAGTTTAAATGTGTACACCTCATATTATACCGGGTGGTGCATCGTCGTTGGAAACAGAAGAAATACCATGCAAATTTTGAACTGTCCAAATATTGGTTTCCCTTTTGATTTTACAACGGAGCCTGGAGTATGCTGAAAGACATGCTAAATTTGAACAAATTCATTTTCAGGATTTTAGCTCAATTTTAAAAGGTGTCGATGAATATTCATTCATTTCCATTCAATAATTCGTATATTTGAAAGCTTTGAAAAGTGAAAAAAAATGCAGTTTTAGTGTTTATTTTTAGTGATTTTTTTCACTTTTCACAGCTTTCAAATATACGAATTATTGAATTGAAAAAAATTACTCTGAGATAGATTTTTTAGTAAATTTTATGCTCTACAAGAATCCGTGATGTAATGTTTTTTATCGTAAACCGTTTCAAAGTTATGGTACTTTTAACGGAAAAAGATTTTTTTTACGTGTTATTTAAATGAAAAACCGACACCTTTTAAAATTGAGCTAAAATCCTGCCTTCGGGGGTATTTTTCTCTCGGCTATTAGGTTCATTTTAATCCATAAATTCCATAGGTTAGTTTTTTGGCTCACCCTAGAGGTAATATCTAATAAATTCCAGAAGAAAATATTATTAATTAAAATATCAGGTTATATCTGTCACTATCATATTCTTCCGCTGGACAGACTATATCTACTCACAGTTTATTTGATGTTTTATTTGACACAGACATGTAATTGATTCCAAACATTAGCTATTATTTTTTACTCCGAACTATCAATATCTCGGTGTGCAATATTTGAAAGTGGATACTTAAAGGGAACTATTTGTTACAGCAATAGGGAGAGATGTAGCTGACTTCATTAGGAGACTTTTAATAAAGGATCCCAGAAAACGATTAGGAGGTGGCGAAGGTGATGCAAAAGAACTCAAGAGACACTCGTTTTTCAAATCTTTGGACTGGGAAAAACTGGCCAGGAAGGAAATTCCAGCTCCATTCAAACCCATTATTAGGTAATATAATACTAATGAATATAATTCAGATTGTTTTGTAACGTGGACTTATTTTTTAGGAACGAATTGGATGTTTCAAACTTTAGTGAAGAATTTACGGGTATGCCTCCAACGGATTCTCCAGCAATAGTACCACCAAACTACGACAAAATATTCAAAGGATATTCCTACGTAGCACCCTCAGTGATTTTTTCCAAGAATGCTATTTCTGACAACATACTGAATCCAAAGCTACACCACGATCACTCCAACCTGCTCAGGTCACAGTTGAGCGACTCGCCTTTCTTTAAACAGTACGCGATGGATCTTTCGGAGCATATTTTGGGCGATGGCACCTTTTCAGTGTGCAGAAGATGCGTACATAAAGACACTGGCAGAGAGTACGCTGTCAAAATTGTAAATCGATCAAGAGATTGTACTCAAGAAATCAACCTGCTTAGGGCTTGCCAAGGTCACCCAAATGTCGTTACCCTTCACGAATGCTTACACGACAACCACTTTACATATTTAATCATGGAACATCTGAAAGGTGGAGAACTATTTGACAGAATCAGACAGAAAACTAGATTCTTGGAAAGCGAAGCTTCAGCTATCCTTCGTAAGTTAGTTTCGGCAGTAAGCTTCATGCACGCAAGAGGCGTTGTGCATCGTGACTTGAAGCCGGAGAATTTAGTTTTTACTTCAGATGACGAAGATGCAGAGATTAAAATCATTGACTTCGGATTTGCTAGATTAAAGAGAGAGAAAGAGTCTTTACACACCCCGTGTTTTACGTTACACTATGCAGCACCGGAGGTTCTCAAAGGAGATCCGGAAGGTTACGACGAAAACTGTGATTTGTGGAGTTTAGGGGTCGTCTTGTATACCATGCTTTGTGGAAAAGCCCCGTTCCATGCCCGTTCAAGGGAAGAAAGTGTTACATCTATAATGGAAAGAATTAAGTGTGGCGACTTTAATTTCAACTCGCCAGCGTGGGAAGACGTATCCGATGATGCCAAGAAAGTAGTCGAGGGTCTTCTTACAGTTACTCCCACCCAAAGACTTCAAATGCTCGATTTACACAACAACGATTGGGTACAGGGACATCAGCGACTACCTCAAACCGCTCTGATGACTCCAGACGTACTTTCTTCCGGGGGTAGCGCTGAAAGATCCGTACAAACCACATTCAACGCCTTCCACAAAGCGGAGCGCGAAGGATTTCGGTTACAAGATGTCCTCAGCGCCAAACTGGCCCAAAGGAGACGCAAGAAGAAAAGCTCGTCCGACAACAACAGCAGCTCGAGTTCCTTCACCAGCGACGGTTCGTTAAAGAGCAGCAAATTGTCCTTAGAACTGAAGAAGACTGAGAAACCATCCATCACTAAAGAACGCGAAGACGACGTCCAGAGATTAGAGCGGGAATCGCGCGTTTCCGAATTTAGCAAATGCGAGAGTGATGTTACGCGCGAATCTACCAGATCTAGCGGTATCGTAATGTCCGACAAAAATTCGGTGGAGTCTTGCAAAGCGGAGAAGCGTCGGCGCGAACGAAAAGTGTACGTACAAACTAGACAGAGTGAACGAATTTTGAGGCAAAGACTAGAAATAGACAGTGACCCCCTTACGTTTATTTCGTTGCCTCACAAAACGAGAAAAAGAAAAATGGAAGAGCCCTTATGCGATGAATGTGATACTCCTACGAAAATGAGCAGAAAGACTACGCCTTTGAAAGCAAAACGAAAGATAGCCCGATAGATATTTTTACCAGTTAATTTTTGTATTTTAATTTATTTATTTTCTCTCATCTGATACGTTTCTGCTAATACGATGACATTAGTTTTATAAGTGGACACGATTAAAGACTGTTTTCAAAAATGGCATTCTGTCAAAAATTACCATATAATCAGATGGAATTATTGGGCGGGTTTTGGAATAGTATTTTCAATTTGATTGCCCGATTGTTCAGTAAAATCTATATGACATTGAGTTTTTAGTAGAAGCTGATGTTAATATCATTTTATTTGTTTTGAAAACGTATGAGTTTTTAATTTGAACGAATTAAATAAATTATTTTATGTGTCTTTGGTATGTATCAAAAAGGAATTTTGTCACAACAAATAGTTTTTTTAAATCCATCTGATTATAGTCCATATTCAATACTTTTTATGTGAACAAAATATATACCTACCCGTATATATACATCTTTATACACTATTTTAAAAGAATGATGACATTACTTTTGCTTAATTATTTTATTTCGAGATATAAATACTTTAATTTTATGTAAATCACCCGTCTTTTTCTTGGCTTCTTAAAAAACTACTGCCAGTATCATGGATAACAGCGTTTATCCACCATACCTAATCAAAAATACAAATAAAAAATGTGATAATGTAATTAAAAAGGAAATGTTTGATGTAAGTATCACACGTTTTACTTTCTTTTTTATTGTATATTTTATAAGAATCTAATTGAAGTGCACTTCATAAATTTATATAGGTAATTCATATATATTATATACCCTTACCAAAAATGTTGTACATAAAAACATAAACTATATATATTAGTCAGAGATTGTATAAACTATTTTTGTTCTACATTTAAAAACAATCTATTGATGTTGAAAGTTGATATTGAGGGCGGTTGCAATAATTCATTGAAAAAATAAGTGTGGAGTTTAAAGTTAATACAGGAACAATCAGTATTATCGAGAAACATACGTAATGTTTAAAGTTGTGTCAATAGTTTTTGTTTGTTTTAATTTTAAATTGTCAGTGTGGTTTAATAAAGAAAGCAGTATTTTTGAAATGTTTGTAGAATATGTAACGTATGTTGTGAGATGTTTTTTATAAATAAATTTCAGTCTTGAAAAAGAAATACTGTAACTTGAGAGCAATTTTGACTATATACTGTATTGAAGGATCTCAATGATTGCTCATGGCTCTTTTAGATATGAAAAAGCAACCGCGCCTCACGAGAAATGTTAATAAATTTGTTTTGTAAGTTTGGAAAGCGTGTTCGATATCAAAATAATGTCAAAACACGCCATAAATCTCCTAACTCGTCGTCTTTCATAGTCAATTTTGTAAAAATATATTTTAGGTAACTTTTTTAGATAATTTTTTTCCTCTGATAGTTTTAGTTGGTATATTGTTTTTGCACTCAGGAAAAAGATAAAAGTAACCGTTTTGTCACTTATTGTTTAGTATTTAATTTTATATTACCAAGGAAGTATGTTAAGTTTGTAATGTCGAAGTAGCTTGTTCAATATTATTGAATAATGGGATTATTTATTTTAATTAGAAGAGAAATGTTTGTTATAGATAAAGAGAATAGACCAAAAAATGGATTGCAGTGCCTTGTTATTTTTGTTATGAATCTGTCGGCGGCCCGATTCTAATAAAATGTATTAAAAGGTTTGGCCCTGTGTTAATGAAATAAATTTCTTTATCCTTGAAAATGTCTTTCATTCCCCATTTCTTGATTTAATTGAAACAATAAAATTAAAATGAACCAGCCAACTTTTGAAATTATTACTTCCATTAATGGAAACATTGATTAAAAAAAAATCTGTAGAACAGAGATGTACAAGATATCTCAGAAAAAGTATCTGAGATACAAGTTACAAGATACTTCTAAGCAAAGTGTTTGAGATAAAAAATGTCTATATACCTATGTGGCGGATTCATCTCAAAAAATCCTCTATGTGTATTTCGCCATTCCAAGCCAATTGGACGGCATTTTTTTTCAATCATACGGTATTTAGATACATTTTTTTAGTATCTTAGTATTTTATAAATGCCACTGCAAGAAAATCTACAAAATAAAATAGTTATTTTTTGTAAACACTTCTGCGAATATTGTACCAGACTATCGAAAAAAACCGGCGTCAGCGATGGCTATGAATTGAAGATCGCTGTCAGATTATATGTAAAATTAAAGGGGAAAAAATTAAATGTTAAATGTCATTAATGCTCTCCAAGCTAACTGGACGCTCTTATTTTTTCGATCATACGGTATTTGGTCCATTTTATTATTGAATATCGTAAAGTAAAAAATGCATCGCGAAGTACCGTATGATCGAATAAAAACGGCGTCAACGATGGCTATGAAATGAAGATCGCTGTCATTTTATATGTAAAATTATATGGGAAATGTCATCGATCGTCATTTCCAAGCCAACTGGACGCCGTTTTTTTTTCGATCATACGGTATTTTAGCAAACTAAAAGTATTTATAAAATACTAAGATACTAAAAAAATGTATCTAAATACCGTATGATCGAAAAAAAATTCCGTCCAATTGGCTTGGAAATGACAATCGATGACATTTCCAATATAATTTTACATATAAAATGACAGCGATCTTCATTTTCTAGCCATCGCTGACGCCGTTTTTATTCGATCATACGGTACAAGAACAATAAGAGAATTCAATAAAGGAATCTTCTTATTAGTAAAGGGTAATACACTCAACACTCAAAGTTCATTAGATCATTATATAGAGATATAATCCTATAATAATATAAATTTAAATTTCTAATTAAACTCTTTAAATGCATAATAATTATTTAAATTTACTGGAAGAATGTAGATTTTTTAATATGTGAAATTATATTTAATTTTTATATTTTGAATTTATTTATAACCATTCATATTTAATTTAGGTTTTTTAAGTCGAGTATTTATCTTTTTTGAGTATATTAAAGGTTTGATCATTAACTTTAAAGAATTAAAAGCTTGATTTTTTTGTAATAATTTGACGAATTTCACTGAGATTAAACTAAATTGATATTTTTAAAACTAAACGTTCTCCTTGTCCCCTACCCCTCGTCAGAGGTTTTACTTTGATATTTTTATTTTAAATATTATTTAATTTGAATTGTGCGCGTTTTAGTGTGCGCTACGGTCATGCGACACCATGTGGCGATGTGTGAAACTATCTCTATGCACTTTCGTCATAGATTTCGTCTTGATCTTGATCATGTGCTCTTTAAATTTAAAAACGTCAAAATCATATGACGTTTGGGCGAGGTAGTGAAGTAAGGAGGTAGTGTTAGTGTTTTTGTCCATCGTCTTTTTATTTAAAAGGGCAGTTTCCCATAAAATAATTAAAAATGAAGGGGTGTATTTTCAACATTGATAATGGATATCTGGAAGGTTTATGCAGAGGCTTTAAATGCGGAGTTTTAAAGCACACTGACTACTTAAATCTGGTTCAATGTGAGACCCTTGAAGGTAAATTAGTTTTATTAAAAGCTAGGTCTGTACAACCCTTTAATTAAGTCTTAATTTAGTTTTACTGGTCGGTCATACTCCTTTTCTTGTTATAGAAATGAAATTACTATTCTAGTTACGTTTTTTTTTATATTTCAGATTTGAAACTGCATCTTCAAAGTACAGATTATGGAACATTTCTGGCGAATGAACCGTCACCCTTAGCTGTTTCAACAATTGATAACAAACTTCGGGAAAAACTTGTGATTGAGTTTCAGCATATGAGGAATCAGGCTGTCGAACCATTATCAACCTTTTTGGATTTTATAACATACAGTTATATGATCGATAATATTATCTTGTTAATCACTGGTACTTTGCATCAAAGGCCCATTGGAGAATTGATACCAAAATGTCATCCGTTAGGAAGTTTTGAGCAGATGGAGGCCATTCATGTCGCTGCTACTCCTGCAGAGCTCTACAATGCTGTTTTAGTTGACACTCCTCTTGCACCATTCTTTGTTGATTGCATATCCGAGCAGGATCTGGATGAAATGAACATTGAAATTATTAGAAACACTTTATACAAAGCATACTTGGAAGCTTTCTATGCTTTTTGTAAGGAAATTGGTGGCACCACGGCCGAAACCATGTGTGAAATTCTTGCTTTTGAAGCCGACAGAAGGGCTATAATTATTACAATTAACTCTTTTGGCACTGAACTGTCTAAGGATGACCGTGCAAAGCTGTATCCCCGTTGTGGAAAACTACACCCTGACGGCTTAGCAGCTCTTGCAAGGGCTGAAGATTATGACCAGGTTAAAGGGGTTGCTGAATATTATGCTGAATACCAGAAGCTTTTTGAAGGATCTGGCAATAATCCAGGTGACAAGACATTGGAAGATAAATTTTTTGAACATGAAGTACGCCTCAATGTAAATGCTTTTCTACAACAATTCCACTTTGGAGTATTCTATTCATACCTAAAACTAAAGGAGCAAGAATGCCGTAATATTGTCTGGATTGCAGAATGCGTAGCTCAGAAACACCGAACAAAAATTGATAATTACATTAATATTTTCTAAGAAATACAGTATTACAAAATTTTCTTGTCATTCCAGGTATAGATATCTTTTTGGTAAGGATATTTCTTGACCTCGCTCAGTTTTGTTCATGTCATAAAGTTAATAAATACCGTAATTAATATAAACAACTGTTAATATTAGAAAATATTTATGTAGATTAATAAAATTACTCTCATATGAAAATAATGTATTATAAATTAGTTTTAGGAAAAGCGTTTCTCATTGTATTACCAATTTAAAGTGTAAATTTTATTTACTGAATGTCACTTTTATTGTTTTAAAATGTACCATATCACTGTAAATCTGTTTTATTTTCCTGTTATTAAATAAATGCTGGATTAAAATGTTTTTTGTGTTAAATAAATTCTTTAATGAGTTACATAAAGAATATTAAAAATTATATTCACAAACTTAACTTAAAAAAATATGAATAATTACTATCAATTTTTGTGCACAATCTTTATTAAAATATTTTAGAAAAATCCGGTAGAATATTTTATAATATTTATAGCCTAATAAATTCTACTCAAATTCTATTTTGATTCTATCTTATTTAAATAAATAAAACTTTGCAGCATATTGGACATCTACTTGTATGTCGGGAAATGATGACAATTTTAAATACAACATTCTGTAATCTGTAATGCTCTGTTTTATCCGCTACCTCATAGATGTCTCTGCCTGGACCAAAAATAATTTTATTTAAGCAACTATTAATTTGGCCCCTACTTTTTAAGTTAATTTAATTAACTCTTATTAATATTTTTTTGTGACTTGTTAATGGAGCTTACTGTCAGTTGGCCTGATGATGGTTGTATTTATTTTTATATTGAGTAAAATGATGTTTTAATCGTGAAATTTAAAATTACCCATAACGAAGTCGGATAAATCAGAGAAAAGTTGCGTACGTTCTTAGAAGTTTGACAAACGGCTCACGGGGGGGTATTAGCATGAAAAAGGTGATCGAAATTCGAAAAAGCAAATGTGTTTAAGATTTCCCAAAAAAGATAAATGATAAGTTAAATCATGTCTGCCATGAATGGCGTTGCTATGGGTGTGTTTAGTTGCATTCATTTGTTTCAAAGAAACGTCAAAGTTGTTACCAGTTGTTACTTCTCACAGATAAGAGGTAAATGGCTAAATTTTATGTTTAAAATTATAAATTGTTGTTGTTCTTGTGCTCTTTTTACGTTTATATTATTGTTTTGATTGAAAATGGCTCAGCAAGCTGCAGGTATGTATTCTACAAAAACGTATTATTTATTTTGATATTCTCTATACTAACGATTTTTTTGCAACTAAAAGTTAGGCGTTCGGAAGATTTGATTAAATTTGTGACATTTTTATTATACTTAGAGATTTAGTTGTGCATTTCGAAGAATTCAGCATATTGTCTATATACGTTTTACTTAGTAAACATTGGGCTTTCATACAGTAAAATAAAATACTGCTACTTTTTGCGACTTTGCTGATAAAATGAGAAAAACATTCTTGGTTTCCTCTAATTTGCCAATCAGTGATATACTAATGCGAGGTGTAAACCGCGATGGCATTGTTTGTTTGGCGATCGCTTTAGTGCCATTAGCAGTATAGCACAATTTGGCATTAGTAGCGACTTTAGTGGTATGGGCATTGCTCGCCGATCAGTCGTAGCATTAGTAGTATTAGTTGCGATATTACTACTGGCATTAGTGGCATTGACCGTGGAAACACTGGAATAGTGATTTTTCTTTCTTTTTTTTAGAATCGACGAATTATACTTTATTGTGTTCATATTATTTCCTCTTTAATTGAAAATAGCAATAATTTATATAAGGTCTACATAAAAAATTTTCGATCAACTATCTGTGTCAAATACCCCACTGTGGTACCTTGATTCATAGATAAATGAAACAAGCAGAGAAACAAGTTTAGATTGGTTTAGTGCCCATAAGGACAATGTAAATAGTATTTGGCGCTATTCTTGCAATGGTCACGATCCAAAGCTATTGATAATTTCGGAGCGGTTCGGCTTTTTCCAGAATTATGTCGTCAAATATATTGTTTGTTCAAATTCATAATTATTTTCTTTTAATTTTATAAATAAAACACAGTGTGTTGCATATAAGAAACTTTATTTTATATAAGGTCATGTATGAAATACCGCATGATCGAATAAGAACGGCGTCAGTGATGGCTCTATGATCGCTGTCGTTTTACAGCGTTTTCAGATGGAGCGGAGCGTCCGCGGCTTCAAGTAAGTATCATGAGTTTATGTGAATGATTTCACATGGGTCGCGTATGCTTCGTCCGGATGAGCTATATTGAAAAACCATCCGCGCGGACGCTCCGCGCGTACGGTCCCCTCCATCTGAAAGCGCCGTTATATGTAAAATTGTATGGGAAATGTCATCGATCGTCATTTCCAATCCAACTGGACGCCGTTCTTTTTTCGATCAAACGGTACCTAACAGCGTTTTCAGATGGAACGGAGCGTCTGCGACGGACCGTCTGCGACTTCGAGCAAGTACCATGAGTTCATATGAATGATTTCACATGGGTCGCGTATGCTCCGTCCGTATGAGCTATATTGAAAAAACATCCGCACGTACCGTCCGCTCCATCTGAAAGCGCTGTAAGGAACATTGGAAACCGACGTTATGCCACGATGGTTTTTGCAGTCCACACAGCTTAAGTTTTTTTAATGCCACTTTTTCACAATTATCACGGGTTTGAGTAAATAAAATTTAAATTGAACTTACAAGATAGCAATAATTACTAGTAGTGGGAACTATCGAATGAATACTATCGAAACATTCGATAGTTGCAATTCATTCGAATAATTCGATAAGAAAACATTCGTTGAAAACTATTCGAATAAAATTATCGAATAGATGCGTCATCTGTCTTGAAATATTGTAGTCTAGTAATCTAGTAATTCGGCAGCAAAAACCATTCATTTATGGAATTCATTTATTCGTCAGGATCGATTATAATAAAATATTCACTGGATGTTAGTTGTCGCAAGGCTATGTAGGTTTTTTTCCGAGAGACCCGACAGCGGTCGGTGGCAATGCTATAAAAGAAGGCGGCATCTTTGATTTTTTGCGGAGTCAAATAAAGATAAGGACACATTATTTTTTTTATTGAGGTGCTAGTATTTACACAGAAAATACATTATGAAGGGCGCTGTTGCCATATATTGGTATTAGTTGATATTAAAGGATATTAGCAAAGAATATTATTGTTTAGCTTTAGTTAGTTAGGGATAGTATGTCTAAATATTTTGCATTTTTTTTATTAATATTCTGTTGTTACACTGAAATAATACTTGTTATTTTGGATGTAAATGATTTTTAATGTTTTTAAGCAATGGCTGGTTTAATAAATAATAATAACAGTAATAATTTGTTATACCTATTAACAACAAAATTTAAAATCATTTAATATAAACGTTTTTTAAGTAGTGGCAAAATATAAACAACAAATTAGATGTCAAAATTATTTATATTAGATCCTATTTAAAAATAATATAGTCTCCAAACTTTTTGTGTGGCAACGTTGGTTTATTAAATAATACTAATTACAGAACTGATTTGTTATATTAACAACAAATTTTAAAATCATGAAATATCAACATTTATTAATTTTGTAAGCATGCAGTGTAATGGAAGGAAAATATAAATAAAAAATTAGAAACCAAAATTATTTATATTAGGTGCTTTATATTACTATTTAAAAATAATACCGTATGATCGAAAAAAAAACGGCGTCCAGTTGGCTGGGAAATGAACATCAATGACATTTCCCATATAAATTTACATATAAAATGACAGCGATCTTCATTCTATAGCCATCGCTGACGCCGTTTTTTCTCGATCATACGGTATATTTACTTTTACTGGCATTTACTTTAAAAAATAAATGAAATATTTCTTCGCAAAAAACTACATGTAAGAGAATTAGCATAAACAAAATACAAACATCGTTAACTTTTTTTTTTAATTGGCACGTGTAAAACTTTCAATTTAATTTTCTCATCCACCCCATAGTTTGAGTTCGATAACCCCATTTACTTAACCACATTACTTAAATATGATTATTAAGTTCAACTAATTCATATTATTAAAACATCTAAAATACAAATATGTATTTTTAATATTAATTGTAAGTTCATCTCATCTCTCTTAAAAATTGCTACTTCTCAAAATTTCCGAATAAAAAAACAGACCATATACCGTATAAAATTAAATAATTGAAAGATCGGGCTACGGAAGATCACACAAATTTTCGGAAACATTTTGACCACCCGCACACGCACACAATCGTCAATTAAAAAAACTACTATTTTAGTATTTTAAATATTTTAATAAACGCAAAAATAGCACAGTATTTATACGGCGAAGTTATAAAAATTTGGAAGAACTAATAATGCACTGACGCACACAAAAATCAAACGAATACTAAATTTCATTTATCAAAAGCATTCGATAGTCGTGGCTCAACGATAACCATTTTGTTGCACGGCGAGTTTGTCACATAATATGCTTTAGTATACAAATGAATGAATGATTTTATTCGAATAAAACCATTCGATAGTTGAAATCATTAATTCAGTAACCATTTGATAGTCTAATTCATTCGATAGTTCCCATCGCTAATAATTACTTTGAAAATGGACGCTTTAAACACTTTTCAATATTTTTTCAATGCGCGCAGTTTATATTTGGAAAGGTTTTATAATTTTTGAAGATTATCACTTTGACAAGAAAAAATTCTGTCTGTTCTTGTTTGCGGTTGATATTAGCAATCGCTATAGCAGCGCCAGATCCCGTACAACGTATGCGATGATGCAATCCTAAACTATCTTTAATAATAATTCATAATAAGACTAAGATAGTAATATAATAAGTAAGTATATATAATAGCAGGGCCGGCGGAAGGGAAATATTGAGACCGGGCGAGTACCCTGTCTGGCGCCCCCCCATCCCCCCCCAAATTTTCGAGACACTTCAAAATTCTTCTCTTCGTTCAATTTTAGTTGCGGTTGTTTTTTCTATACCGGGTGCGTCTTGAAAGTGACTCACTCACCCCTATAACTTTTTAATATTTTTAGATAAAAAAACGAGATTTGGTATGTTAGTGTATGAGATAAATTAGAATTGATTGACGTATTCAATTGTTTTTAGTCACTTCCTGTTTCACCGGAAATAGCTAAAACTGATTTTTAACTGGCACCTCGGTATATTTCTACTTTATTCAATAGAAAATGACACTCAGAGTAGAATGACATATCACATATCATTTGTCAACTTTTGACATTTTCGTCAAAAAAAAATATATCTATTTTAAATTTCAA